CGATGCTGGGTGTGATTTGATAAGAGTCGGTATTTCCAAGCTGAAAGACAACTGTTTAAACTGGTGTCTGCAGGGCTCACGGGTTCCTTGATGCTTTCATCTTAGCCTGCATTTCCACTGACAGAAAACCCCAGGCCAGGATTCCAGAAGCAGCGTCCCTCTGAGATGTGCCGACTGGAGCTGAGAGCAGCCTGGGTGCTTTGGTGAAGCTGTGTTTCCAGGCAGAGGGAAGGAGTGGGTCCCATTTCTACCGAGTGTGAGCGCTGCATCCCCACCATAACAGGGCAAATGTCAATGGCAGAGCCCCCACCTGACCTCTGTGGGCCTCCTGGCTCAGCAGCACAGCACCGAGATGGTGAGCTGTTAAGCACAGAGCTGGAGCTAAAGATCAACATGAAGCATCCCTCGCCCTTCAGGTTTGGCTCCAAACACCCATGATGTAAATGGGGTTGGGTTGATGACAAACCTGCCCCACTGCTGGCACTGGCGGAGGACAGCAGGGGACTCCTTGGTTCCTGCGAGCCCCTGCCTGCTCCATTTTGCCACAGGCACAGCCAGCAAACTGCATCACAGCCCCACAAAGCCCCAGTCAGTGCCTTGTGCACCTGCTGGCACCAAAGACTCTTCAGAGGGTTGAGCTCTGCAGACGTGATCTGCCTGAAATGAAATACAGAAGTGCTGCCAGAACTGTGGAGACGTCCTGGAGAGCACGCAGGGAAACAGAGCAGGTGCAGAGGGAGACGTGCTGAGATACTGCAGCCACAGAAATCCAATTCCCTGTTCAATTCAGTGCCCTGAAGATTGTGCTGATAGAGGAACATCTTTCAAACAGGGATGAGGCTGCAGGTTGGGGATGCAGAGAGGCACTCGTGTGTGTACACATGGGCACGGAGGGGGAGATGATTGAGAGAGCCCATAAGAGTGATGGTGGAGAATATGGAAGTGAACACAAAAATCAGCCTGGGAAATTCAAATAACTGCTGCGACGTAATGGGCTGAATGCATCCCGAGTGCTCAGCAGCGACACGGGGGAGACATGGAGCCCGAGACGTCAGGAGCAGCCATTAGGATGGCTCCGCTTCAGAGGCTTTTAAGGAGCTATTTTTGCCATTCTGCAGTTACTCTGCAGGATACTCAGCCCCCACCATCCTCCAGAGAGCTTATCCTCTTCTCTCAGCGTTCCCCATCACCGGAGGTAGAAGAGGGGCCTGGAGCACGCAGCCACCGGCAGCACAGAGCTCCTGTGCTCGGCCACACAGTGCTGCTCCAGCACCACCCCGCTGGCCCCATCCCATAATACTACCCCTCTGCCACACTGTCACGATGGGAGCGCGGAGCTGTCACCCATCAGCACCCATCAGAGAGCCACGGTGTGGAATTACAGCTGCTCTGGGAGCGCCGGGTCCTTTGGTTGGACGTGGGAGCCCTCGAGCAGTGTGTGAAGGTGCACCAGGTGCCAACAGCCTGCTGGGTGCTGCCTTCCAGTTGGAGACACCATCCCCCGCCTGCCAGCTCTACCAGTTTCCCCCTGGGACACCGCCAGGGTCCCAGTGCCAACACCTCAGTTATTTTTAATGAGGAGCAGGGCAGGGGAAGATCGTGTTTGCAACAGATATGGAAGGTACAGCTTACCAAGGGCAGGAGAGAAACATGAGGTCACGACAGGAAGAGCTCTTTCTTGTTTGCCCACAGAAGGAAGTCAAGCTGTTGTGATCCCACTGCCTCCAGAAGCCTGAACGTGCTAACAGGAACAGAAGAGGCTCCGAGGTTGCAGCAGGTGGCTCTACAGCCATCACTTTTGATACAGAGCTCCCAGTCAGCACAGCAGCCTGCTCCCATCACCCCACTGACACTCCCCTCCGCACCCCATAGCCAGCTTCAGTGCCATCACTGCACGTGGAACAGCCCCAGCCAAGTTCCACCCCCTCCAGTGAATATCTGCTTCCACGGGACAAAAGGTCACAGAAGACCATCAGGTAGGGCTGTTATTTAACAAACTCAGACGTGACGGGGTTTGAGCTGCTCAGCAACGCTTTGAGGAGGAGCAGCCCCAGCAGAGCAGAGCTGCAGTGCCCAGGGCCACCCTCCTGTGTACTGCATGGCCCCGGTAGCTCACCCATACACTCCCCTCACAGCTTGTGGGTTATTATTCCAGCCTCCAAGGACATAAACAGTTCCCTTGATTTTAAGGAATGAGGCTGAGCACCCCAAGCATTTCTCACCTTGTCAGAGCCTCCCAGGTCCAGCTGTCACCCCGCTGCTCCTCCAGTCCCCCAGGCACAGCACAAAGCCTAGCACAAATCACACCTCTCCCAGCCTCCTCACCAAGATCATCACCTGGGTCCTGCAACAAGCACTGGACAGCAGATCCTCATTGCCCTCATAGCCCACCCAACGCTCAGAGCGCTGCTGGCCTCAGCCACGGCCGCTTACATCTGTTAGAGATCCCAGATGTCCAGGAAACATCTGGCTTGCCTACGTCATCACCTTAAAATCCAATAGATTCAGCTCTATTCATTCCTATCCCTGACGTTTTATGCAGCTTTCCAAGAAGAAAAGAACGTTCCAGAAGGCATTTCTTTCTCCACGCCCTGTTGCAGCTGCAGGAGATAGGTGGCCAAACACAGCCTGGCTGCCTGGGTGCTGGAAGCACCAAGCCCAAACAGCATGGATTGGAGTGCTGGTCAGCAGCAGGACAGCAGCTGCTGGAGCCACAGTAGAGACCAATGATAGAAGAGTTGGTCCCCAAGGAGTGTGGGTGGACAGCATCAGCATACCTGTAAACCCCTCAGATCTTCTCTCCACAAATGAGAGCATGAAGAATCGACTTTGAACTGAGGAAGGCTAACATTTCATCAGTTTGAGAGAAAAACTGCAACACCGAAGGTGCTGCTGTGCTGTCTGTGCCACTGCTCCAGGGCTGGGATCTCAAAGATGACCATGGGAAGTGAAACACAGAACAAGCTGGGATGCACACTTCAGTGCAACACCATGGCCCGGGTGCAGGAGCAAATCCCTCCAGTGGCTCTGCCAGCAGCACTGAGGGAAACAAGGTGCCCACGAGGCAGCACCACACATTGCTTATCAGGATACTTCTATTAACAGCCTCCTTCTCACTTCCACTGCTACACTACTCTCTACTTGACTGCAATACATTTAATCAAGATGTTTCTTAGGGAACCAAATAAAGCTTGATGATGCTTAATGGCTGGGGCTTAATGGAAGGGTTGTTTAACTGGGCTCATAATTTTGATTAATTAAGATGCCTGCAGGTGTTGGAGTGGTACTTAGGCAGTGGCTTTGATGTTCAGAGGCAGAGGGGTTTTTGTATCCCCTTCAAAAGATGTTCTGCCAGCGCTGCTTCAGCAAAGCAGAACTGCCTCCAAGCATTTGCAACACAGGTTAGCTGTGTTGGAACCAGCAGCACCTCGCCGAATTCCGGTCCCTTGGACCAGCTGCTTCTTGGGACAACCCACAGAAAAACACCACCACAAACAAACAAGCCACCAAAAACCCACCAAAACCAAGACCTGTTCGAGGGCAGCCTTGGTCTCCTTGAGAGGAGAGAAATAACATGAGAGGATCTCCACAGGGTGATGGCAAGAGGCCGACCAGAACAGCAACGTGCACATCCTGGGACTGACTTGTATTTCTATTTCCTATTCAGCAGCCAACACTCTTACAAAACTTCCTTACCTCTGAGATTTTTGCCTCTTGAATGCAAATGAAATGTACACAGGTTTAAAAATGTATGGGGAGAAAATAGGACATGGATAGCAGCGTGGCACACGCTCATTTCCATTTGAAATCAGACTGAAGCGCTGGAGAGAGACAAAATGAGCCAAACTCACCTTCGTCGTCAGCATCAAACATTAACGTCACGTTAAACAGAACTTGATTTAAGGCTAAGGAAATTAGTGCAGTCAAACATAAGGGCAATGCTACCTTGTGGACTGAGGACTGGGACAGGGCTTGGAAGAGCGGAGCTTCACTCTCTTCTTTGCTGTGGACTTAAGGGATGCCCTTGGGGAAATGTTTCGTGCAACACCAGGGCCGAGCCCCCACTTCCTGCAACTGCCACCACAAACAGAAGAGCACAGCAGCAGCTGCCCGTGGGCCACAAGGCGAGCCTCCTCCAAGAACAGCCTCAGTGTCACTCGTTGGCAATTGCAGGCAGTACTGAGTCAGGAGGAATGAGCTCAGCCTTCCATACATCTGCGTTGATCCCCTCCCCGTGGCTTTGTGCAGTTGGAATAAGAGCTATTCAAATGCAAGGTATGGAAACTTCAAATGCAAACCGGAGTTGCCCCTGAATGTTGTCAGCGTGCCCGGTGGCTTAGGATGAGTCATCGGTGTTTCTCAGTGCACTCACACCAAAGCTGAGACTGGGCTGTGTTGCTCTGCTCCGAGGGATGGAAGCACTTTAAGGGAAGTGGTTGAAGCACCCAAACACCATCAGGTTTATCGGAGAGTTATAAAGAAGTAGATTACAAACAACAAATTCTGAAAACTCCAATGGGCAAAAATACATCTGAAAAATCACCGTCAATGTCTTCGATAGAGAATTCACCTTTCCTATCAAGCTCAGCAGCATGGATGCCATCCACAGCCTAGCCGGCCAATTTTGTTTCATTTTTATTGCCAGACAAATGCAGGACCCAAAGCCATTTTATTTTTGCAGTGATTAAAGGATTTGATTAAGAGCCATCAAAGTGCCAGCCCTGCTTGTCCTCTCCTCTGATTGCTGAGCGGATCTCTTTGCTTCCTGCACGTTTAACAGCACCAAGTGAGTGTGTCTGCCTAGAGGGTGGTGAGAGAAATCTCTTGGTTGCCATCTCTGTCGCTCCAGATTAGACCTGAAGGCCAAAACAAGAGCTCCTGCTGCACTTCAGCCCTTTAAGAAAATGGTACTTTGTAATGCAAAATTCCTCTCCTTCCACTTTTAGGAAGTCTCTGGGGGTATAACGCCAGGGAGGAAGAGTGAAAAGTAACCAGAATGGTTCATTAGAGCATATTCTTTTATTAATAAAGATCAGAAGAATAGCTGGAGGGACAGCAGGTGAATGGATGACATTGAACCACATATTGTCAAAAGCCATTCAAAAGAGCTGAGTTGTTCAGCAATCCAGCAGTAGCTGCCTGCCTTGTTCTGCCAGGGTAAAGAAGCCCAGAGACGTGGCTATGGATCTCCAAAGAGTTTTGGAGGGGACCTGAAGAGGCCTCAGTGCCAGCACAGGGGGCCAAATGCACCTCACTTGCAAGTCTTCCAACAGTAACCAGGAGCCAGAGCTGCTGGTCAGAGCCTCCTCACGCTACTTAGAGACCACAGGAAGACTTTCCCCACTCTGCAGACTTTGTGACCTGCTGTTTTCCAATTCAGAGCCCGTGTTGGACAGCAGGAAGCAGAATGTTAACCAGAGCAGTTCAAGAGCCAGACAGCCCCAGCTTACAGGATGTGTGGGTGTGATGCATGGACCTCCTTTTCCTCCTGGCTTACTGAATTTATTCTGTTACAGTCCCCCTGGACTGATAAAGGGGAACAATCTCACAACTACTCAGATTTTGAAAAGACTTCAGATTTACAGAGATTCCTTTTTGTGAAGATCCTCCACTTCTCTATTAGGCAAAATTGATGAAATCAAACTCCCTTCTCATCCTTAAGGTGACTTCCAAGAGCTCCTCTTCAGAGAGGAAACGAGCTTTCCCCTTCTTGCTGTCCACAGGGCAAGGGAGATGCAGCAGTAGCTTCCTGTCAAGGAGGACACAGTGAGTTTTAATGGCCCAAACCACGTGAGCCATTGAGGTAGCACTGAAAGCCATCCTAGTGATTCAAGAATCAGAATATCAAGCAAAGTCCATTCTGTGTAACCTTCCCATGACAAGTTGCACAGTTCTGCAATACCTGGTACACAACTATATAGGCCCTGGAGCATTTCCAACAGTTCCATTCTTTTGGCTGTGGCTACAACAGCTTCCAGCGATGGGCTGTGAGTTCTCTGCACTGTTCTTGCTTCTACACAGTGCAGAGGAAGGAGAAGCTGCACTGATAATGCTCTCCTGGTGGTAAACACCTGAAAAATGCCTGAAGTGTCTGGGGGAGCTTGTATTCTATAGCAAGAAGAAACAAGTGGCACAGCTGGGTTAGAGATTCTGGCCAGTTTCACAGAAGATACACCTACCTACCCTAAAAGACAACACTGTTGTCTGGATATGGGGGTTCCATACCTTTTCAACTGTGTTGTAGGAGCCACAGCCAAGGCACAGTCAAAACACACTTAACCTCACCTACAGAAGTTAACCAGCTGGTAGCATATGGAAAAGATCAGTTGGGCTTAGAGTCAGCCCCAGGACTATGCAGTGGAAAACAATTCCTTTGGGCCCTCCCATACATCTGTGAGAACACAGTGTTTCCTTGTACGCAGAACTTGAAATCTTATTTGTTTCTTTCATCCTGAGCAGATTTGCACTTACATCTGCAGAACAGCACTGGCTCAGGCTGTACCCAAGCAACCACCAGATTTACAGCAAACGTTTTATTTGCAAGGCTTGTGTCTTGAGACAGCTGGATACTAAGATAATGGCAGATCTGAGTCACCAAGAAGACAAAATTGCAGAAGGAAACAGAAGTGAAGGATTTGCTACACCTGCAGCACTGCACTAAGCTACCTCTTGCACTAACTTCAAGTCACAATCTGGACAGTTACTGTTCTTGGCTTTCCTGTTTCAGAGCACTCCCAAACATTCTTTCAGCACTGTTTGCATCTTTAGATTAAATTTCTGCAGACTCTTTCTGCCTGTGAGAAAGGTGACTGTTCTGCAGTCAGTCCTCTCGGGACAGAACTGATTTTGGCTTTAATTCACAGCGTGCATCTTCAACTGACTGATGCTAACAGAAGGCTATTGACACATGAATCTTCCCACGCCCCACTCAGTGCAGGAAGTCGGTCTGGGGCAGAGGGTTAAGCTTTCCTATGGAAGCACTGTGCTGCCTGACTTACTTTTGGGGAGTTCGGAGGTCAAGCACCTTGTCCTGGATATCTAACGTGATGTCTGAGAACTTTGTCTCTGGCAGCTTGATTTTAATCTGAAACGATGGGCAGAGTTAAAGCTGTGATTGCATACGTAGATCTGTAAAAGACAGCTCCAAAAAAATCACCCAGCAATCGTACCAAGAGAGCAGGGAGGTCATTGATCAGATCAGAACAGGGCTGGATCTGTTAGGCTGGTAATACCTTGGTATCCTGCTAACTCACATGCTTTGTAACAAATGATGAAAATCATCTCCTTCCCAGACTCTCCCCATCCCAAAACTGTGTCCAAGGTGAAACCTTGTTTTAGAGCTGCTTTCATCTCGCTCTGTGACACACACTGCACAGCTTCTCTCCAGCTTCTTCTTAGAATCATAGAATCACCAAGGTTGGAAAAGACCTTCAAGATCATCCAGTCCAACCGTTCACCTATTCCCAATAGCTCCCACTAAAGGGAGGAGATTCTTGAGGAGATGTACAGGGGTTCCTCACGTTAGTAAGAGCAGATCAAGCTACAAACACTTGGATAATTACAAGTTAAAATCCCCCAGGAGCCTGAAGGCAGCCATGCCTTGGTGCTTATGTTCAGTCTCAAGAAGAGGGCAAGATTGTGCAGAAAAAGGGCACGGAGAAGGGATGGCAAACACAGGCTCAGCTCACCACCATATCTTCACAGCAGGCTGTGGAAGGGTCTTTCCTGCTCATCCCAAAGAAGACATCCTCTGTTCCCACCTGCTGTTTGAAGGAAATCTCATACCTGAAAAAGAAGAGCAGTTGGCTAGCAGCAGATAGGCCAGGAGGCTGAAGGAAATTGTCTCCCTCAAAGCACCATCAATCTCTGTACGAATGCTGACGTCCTTACCACGTTCTCTCCCATTTCCCAGTCTTCCTTCAAGTCTTCAAGCCAACTGCACTGGATTTCTGTCCAGAGCCATGACACTTTGAACAAGGTGAGCATTCACCTTCCTGGGAAATCACCGTGCTGCCTCTACTTCACTAAGCAGCACTGCAGGATCATCGAGCAGCAGAGGCATTCTGAGTGAACGTGGACCTCAGCAAGAGGCCAAGCACCAACTCTTGGGAAAAGGCCTGGAAAAGGGTGCTGTTAATTACATGTTCTGTCACCCAGCCTATCTTGCAGCCTAGAAGTGCCTCTGTTATCTTGCCTAGTTTTAATTGTTTTGCATTTGGCCGACGTTAGTGTTATTCCCCTCCGAATCCATTTGTTTAATTCAGAACCCTACAAGATCCAGAATCACACGTTCCTTTGCTCTCGATACTTAATGAATGAGGGAATACAAACTGAAAGATTGCATTTAGAACATATTACTCTTGCTAAATTGAGCAAAATAAATGGAGCCTCTTCTCAAAGCTGTTGGAAAAAAAAGTGTATGGAAAGTATTTTTCACATCTCCAGTGCTCGTGTGCGTATGTAATAATTCCTAAGTCAATGAGAAATCTGTCTAGCAGCTCTGGATGCACCTCTAACCATCTGTTTTCCTTTTGGGCCTTTTCCTACGATTTAATTTGATGAACTATTACAAAGATTTACACTCTCGTCTCATCTGTGCAACACAGGACGTAATTGCTGGAGGCTGGAGAAGGGCTGCATCACAGCCCTTTCAGCAGGGAGGGAAGGGTCAAAAATAGAGTGCAATAAAGCTCCTGTTGTGCCCACAATGCAAAGGAAGAGCATTCCATAGCTCACCAGTGATAGATTCAGGAACAACTGCACTGCAGTGTGGGTGCAGCTTCATGGACTTCAGCCCATCTGTTCCAGCACGCAGCTCCAGGGCAGTGCATGGCATCACAGCGATGCTCAGCTCAAACCCTGCTCTGCAAACTGCTCGGCCCTGAAGGCTTTCTGACCTCTACAAACTACCACACAACATGCTTGCCTACTTCTAAAATGTACTTCTACAGCGAAGGGAGACGACTGTTTAAGGCTGTCCCTTTTAAGGCTGTCCCTCGGGAAGCTACGATTGAATAAAAAGATTTAGAACTGCCAGCATAAAGCCTTCCTTCCTATGGTGGCAGTTGTCTCTGAAGAGTTTAATTCTTGGAAACAAACAGAAGTTGGAGTGCTTTGTGAATCTGAGTGTGAAAAGTGAATGCACGTCAGCTGCAGCAGGAAGAACCAGGTACTTCACACCAGCGTGGCAAGTTTCAGAGCATTTTGCTGGCCTGCTTCCCCTCCTCATCTCATTTTGTACAAGCATCTGACACTGCAAAGTGTCTTGTGACAAGAAAAATCAACTCCACCTTTCTGTTATGAGATCAGAAGGTTTCCAAGCTACAGTCCCTCCTCGCTAGCTGCTTTACCTGCAGTGCTGCTGTCCTCCCATCAGCTTTTCTTGACGTGCTCTCCAGATCGCTGTGTTTCGCTCACATGGAAGCTGTGCAGCCCAGCTCTGCATTCCAACCACGTCCAACCCCAGCACACCATCTCACATCACTTACTCTGGCTGTTCTCTAGGATCCCAGGCGTCGTCAAATTCGGATCCTTCTGGGACCTCTTCTGAGCTCCAAATAGTTTTGCTGTGTTCAGATTTCACTTGTAAGGTATCTGTAAGCAACAAGAAAAATCCCTGTTTCTTTCCCTTGGTTTGCTGAAAACTGTCAGATTTCTAGGCTCCAGGAAAAAAAACCTTTTCATCAAAATAAATTGTAGCTAATGATCTCATTCCCTTCAATATCATAAAGGATCAGAATTTGAAGAGGGAGGACATTTTCTATTCCTTTCCCTTAAATCTCCTTTACCCAACCTCTACGCCAAGGAAATTGTCCTTTCAGGCATAAAATATCCAGCGCTTCAAAATGATTAAAGTGGAGAATGATGAAATATTAATCTTCCCCCATGTCTCTGACATGAGATTTTAAGTGAGCAGAGTCCCCTACACAAGGATCTCTCCCTGGCATACAAAGCCACCAGTGATTGAGCACAGCCCTGACGAGGTACTGGTGACTGCAAAGTCCATAGCAGAACACAGGCTGTCCCAAACCTACAGTGAAGGTGGTCACACTGACCAGTGCTTGCAGACAAAGAGCAAGGTGCAGTAAGAAGAAAACAGGACGAATGCTCTCAGTCTGTTGAAGGTAGCCCTGAGCTGAGCTCATTCCTCACGCCACGTGCTGTGGGGACAATGGCACACACCTCCCAACCCCTCATCCTTCATCCAGACTCAGCTTTGTGCAGCTCACCCCATGAAGATCCCTCCAGCTGCCCCCTTAGAAGCCTGCCCCTCCTGCGTGCTCTAGGCAGTAACAATTCCCTGTGAGTATCCTTATGGAGCTTTTTGCTGCCCACTTGTGACTCCTGCCAGCCCACCTTCTGTGCTCTGTTTATCATCACCGCTGGAGGTGCTGCCCTCCAGAGTTACCTCTTCTGCAGTCGAGTTTCCAGGAGAAGAAGAATTTTAGTGTAACTGTAACAACGTCATGGCCTTCCACCTCAAAGGTCCACTCACTTATTGAAGGAAGCCATCTGTGATAACTCGCAACAGCTGTTGCAGTCTGTTAACACACAACTGAATGCCAAGATACACAAACACTCCTTACCAGTGCTCTCTTTCTTTACTGGTCCGATGCTCCCAGGAGTCACGGCACTGACAGAACAGCACGGCTGCAAAAACCCACGTGGGACTGCAATTAATTATCACAGAGCACAGCTCGGTAACAATCACACCAGTAATTACAACATGTCATCAGAAGTCGCTGCTGGAGCCAAAATTTCCCCCACCATTTCATGGCTGAAGCAGGGAATCTCTCTCCATCTCACTGAGCACAGCACCCTGATGCACGGGCTGCAGGCAGGGCTCCCAGAAGCAGTGCTGCAGCCAGCAGTGCTTCTCAAAGATTCGTTTCCATGGCATTTTGAGACAATTGTTGTGCTTTGCCTGCCCTGAAAATACTGCAAGAAGCCAAGGGTGCTACGTGCAAATTCCTTTTAACAGGAGAGATCACATGAGGCAACAGCGCTTTCCTCTAATCATGAATCAATTTAGTGCTAATAGGCCGATGTGAGGCATTTCCATCTATGTGTGAAGATCCCTCGGTTTGATAGAAGTGCCTCATCTGCAGAGAACATTAAATTAAATCCAAACAAAGATTTCAAATTGCCCAGCTTGACTCAGGCTTAATTGACAGAACTTGTAGCAATTTTCCCTTTCTGCCTCTGAAGTGCCATTCATTTTATTATTAAGATGTAAACAAATTCTTTTTAAAGTCGGGATGTTTACTGCAAAGATGTACAGCAATGACTCCAGCTTCAGAAAGCCAGCATTTAAGAGCTGAAGGGCAGCTGGAGCGTGAAGCACCACATTTGCCAGCTACAGAAAGGAACTTCTAGGAGACACCTTTTCCCCAGAGGCAGCAATGGCCACTGCCTGCACGCAGCTGCCAGGCCAGCCAGCTGGCTCTGCTCTGAGAGCTGATGAGGAGCTCAGATCCTCACCCTTTTTGTTATCTGTGTCATAATGCAACTTGTTCAAAATTCTAAGAGACTCATCAATGTTTTGAGCAATCTCTGTGGCCTTGGCCATCATCTCTGTGGCCCTTCCTGAGCAGAGCAGGGCAGATTGTTTCTCCCTAGCACCCATGTGTGCCTACTGCACAGCTCCGTGTTGCAGGAGCAAGAGAAGTTCATCTGTGATTTGCTTCAAGTCCTGAGATGAATCGATATAAAAGAACGTGGAGATATTTCTCTCAATAATCATTCAGTTCATTTTAGAATGATTACTCACCCTTCCCCGTTCTACAGTCCCCAGAATACCTATTGTACTTCTGTGATCAATTGTGCTTCTTTAATGCCTGGTACAGGATTAACACATTCCACTGCTGCTGGGTGTTCCAGTCTTTACTCAGAAGCTGCATACTGCTGTAATTGCCCCCACCTCTAAAAGACTTCAGGGAAAAGCAGGAGGAAATCTAAGCACTCAGGGCTCTCTCAGCCACATCTCATTTCCTTTAGGCTAAAAAAATAAACAGCCCTCCCATTCTGTTTACAAGGGTGGATGGTGATAGGACAAGGGAGAATGGTTTTAAACTCAGACAGGGGACGTTCAGGTTGGATATTAGGAGGAAGTTTTTCACACACAGGGTGGTGAGGCACTGGAACAGGTTGCCCAAGGAGGCTGTGGATGCCCCATCCCTGCAGGCATTCAAGGCCAGGCTGGATGTGGCTCTGGGCAGCCTGGGCTGCTGGTTGGTGGCCTGCACGCAGCAGGGGGTTGGGACTGGATGAGCACTGTGCTCCTTTTCAAGCCTGGCCACTCTATGATACAATATGATATGTTCTTGTGGCATCCAAAAATATCTCCTAATTGTCTCAGCCACTCCAAAACCTTCCAAGGTTTTATTTCCCTCTTTATCTGCGCTGGGAAAAGTGAGGTTTGCATCTCCTTAGTAAATAATGTTGGGCACTGTGAAGAAGTCACACAAAAGACTCACACCAACGTCATCGTCATCCTCATCCTCGCGTGCATCACTGAGCAGCTTGGCAAGAGACTGCAAAGAGCAGACTGCAGGAACATCCACCTCCATCCTCACTCCTCCCCTACAGGGGAAAACCAGCACCACCTCAGGAACAACAAAGCCTTTGCACCGCGCCGCCCTTCTCCGAGCACCGTGCGATAAGCACCAAATTCGATCAAAACCGTACGTACCTCGCCTCTCCCTTGCGGGCTGGGTCTCGGGAGACAGCGCCTCACGCCACCCAGAGCAGCACAGGACCGTAAGGCCCGACGCCGCCACCTCCAGCGTCCGTCGTTGCTGAGGTAACGGCGCCCCGCTCCTTTTCCCGCCTCCTTTAGCCCTCTCAGCCAATCCAACAGAGCTCAGCAACGAGTGGCGGCAAGATCAACCAATCGTTGATGAAGGCGGGAACGAGCGGCCGGCTGTTGGTCAGTTGGGGAGCGCGAGAGCGGGCGTGGGCGTTGGGCGCATGCGTCAAGTGCGTCATCGGCGCGCGCCGTCTGCAACGTCATCGGTGTGCGCGGCTGTTGGTGGCCGCGGAGAGCTGGGAGCGTGGGTCCGCTCGGGTCTCCGGGGCCGCGTGCGCCGTTCCGGGCGGGACTCGGTCCGCTCTCGCTCCTCTTCTCGCCCGTCTCTGCACCATGAGCCAGTTCAACTTCGGCTCGACCCCGGCGGGCGGCGGCTTCTCCTTCAGCACGCCGAAAACGACCGCCAGCACCACCGCGGCCACCGGCTTCTCTTTCACGCCCGCCCCCTCCTCGGGATTCACGTTCGGCAGCGCTGCACCGACGCCCGCCAGCAGCCAGCCCGTCACGCCCTTCTCCTTCAGCACACCGGCCAGCAGCGCGCTGCCCCCCACCTTCAGCTTCGGGACGCCCGCGACAGCCGCCACCGCCACCCCGGCTGCCAGCGTGTTCCCGTTAGGGTGAGAGCCGCCGGTCGGGCTGTGGGGAGCGGGGCGGGCCGCTGTGGGGAGCTCGCCGGACTTCTGGTGCCGGTGCTCCGGGATCGGCGTGTGCCTGTGTGCCTTTAACGAGGCCTTGGGGCTGTGCTGGTTCTTAGAGTGGGGTTCATACAATTGTATGTTTTGAGTTGGAAGGGACCCGCAAGGATGGGGGAGGCCGATCCTGGCACACAGCACCATCCTGAGATCAGACCTCGTGTCTGAGAGTGTTGTCCCAGCACTCATAGAGTCACAGAGTGGTTTGGGTTGGAAACCCAAAGGATGATGAATCTCCAAGCCCCCTGCTGCATGCAGGGCCACCAACCTCAACATTTCACAGCAGCCCAGGCTGCCCAGGGCCCCATCCGACCTGGCCTTGAACACCTCCAGGGATGGATGGGGCATCCATAGTCTCTCTGTGCAGCTGTTCCAGCACCTCACTGCTGTCGTAGTACAGAACTTCCCCCTGACATACAATCTAAATCTTCCCACTTTCAACTTAAAGCCATTTCCCCTTATCCTGCACTGCCTGCTCCTTGAGGACCAGCAGCAATGCCCACAGCCCTCTGGTGAAGAACTTTTTCCTGAGGTCTATAACAACTTACTACCTAAGCATACAATTCCATCACACTGTCACAACACCTGTTGACGCATCCTTCATTGTGCTGAATCAACTTGAACCTCAAGCAGACTCCATGCATTAAGGGAAAAGCTGTGTACAAAGTCATAATATAGCAGCCTCAGTGACATCAGTCTCTGGTCTGTGTGAGAGCAGCGGGGAGGGAACTGAAGTTGGTGGTGAGTGGTAAAAGGTGACTGAGAGAACAGCCTCAGGTGGAGGAAGTGAAATGGGTGCCCAGGGGCTGAGAAGTAATGGCTTTGTTGATACTACAGCAGGTGTCTTATAGTGCGTTGGTGCATGGAGGTAATTAAGGGAGTGTCAAGGTAAGAGTTACAGATGGCAGGACTTGTAATGCAGTCTTTGTCAGAACAGGAACGCAGTTCTGGCCAAGCGTCCATTGTTCTGAAAGGTTTTCTGCTGTTTTATCAGTATGTGGTCAGTTAGAATGCCAAGTCAGTGTTTCACTGGATGCATGACCTGAACAGCCTGGCTCACTGCTCTTCCTTTTTTTCCCTTTTATAGGGGAAATGCACCGAAACTCAACTTTGGAGGCACGAGCACAACTCAAACTACTGGAATCACAGGAGGATTTGGGTTTGGTACCTCTGCACCCAGCAGCGCGCCCTCAAGTCAAGCAGCAGCCCCTTCTGGCTTCATGTTTGCATCTGCCACCACCACCACCAGCAGCACCACTGCAGCTCAGCCTGGCACAACCGGAGGGTTCACATTTTCCAGTGGCACCACGACTCAGGCAGGAACAACCGGCTTCAGCATCGGTACCACAAGCACCGCAGCTCCGCAGGCAGCGCCCACAGGGCTGACCTTTGGAGCAGCACCAGCTGCTGCTGCTGCCACCACCGCTGCCAGCTTAGGGAGCACGGCCCAGCCTGCAGCAGCTCCCTTCAGCCTCGGGGGTCAGTCCTCTGGTGAGTGAGTGCCTGAGCTCGGGGTGGGAGCTGTCACCAGGAGTGCTGCTGGGGGTGGTGTGCACAGCCTGACATCTGGCATTAAATCAAGCTATGGCTGTGATGAGTATTTCTTATGCACAGGAGGAAGGTCTGGCTCACGGGTGAGAATGATGTTCATCAGTGTTGAATCAGTTGTTAAAGCCTTTGAAGTATTGAGCTCGCTGTTCCTAGTTCTGTTCCTGGATAATGCAGAGCCTTTGTTACATTAAATATTAATGTTTTGCTTATGCTCTTCTACTAACTTGAATATTGCCATCAGGTTCTCTGCAGTGAAAGGTTCATCTTTTTTACTTCTGCTGCTCTTATCTCAGGTCTGAACTTCGGATCCTTGGTTTCAACAGCAGCCACTGGTGCACCCACAGCAACACTGACTGCGAGCACCAGCCAGGGACCCACGCTGTCCTTTGGAAGCAAACTGGGAGGTAGGGGGGAAAAAATGGTAGGAAATAATTACACAGGGCTTGGTGAGTCTTTTGTCCTCCCTGTAGTTTTTTTAAACCAGAATCTGAAGCGTGTGAAAGCCTGATGGGCTCTGCATGCACATCATCTACGCTCCTTCTGTTTGCAGTAACAACTACAGCATCTACAACGACAGCTGCCAGCACAGCTCCCCTGCTTGGTTCCACAGGCCCTGTGCTGTTTGCATCTATAGCGAGTTCTTCAGCACCAGCCTCATCCACCAGCACAGGGCTCTCACGTGAGTCACAGCACACAGATCTGCACAGGAGAGAATAAACAAGCAGCACGATTGGTGCTGCCTGCCAGCAGCAGGTGCTGTGGTAATAGGGATGGCTGGAAGGGCAGCTGCTCTGTTTGCCACCTTCCTGAAGACTTCTGTAGCTGCTCACGAGGAGCTTCAGGAGTTGTTTTTCAGTGGGGAGCTGTGTTTAATGGGATGTACAAACTGTAGAGTTGTGTTCTGATTGCAGTTGGTGCCCCTTCTACTGGTGCAGCTGGGCTTGGAACGTCTGGATTTGGATTAAAGCCTCCTGGAACAACAGCTGCAACAACCAGCACTGCCACCAGTAAGAACCAGATGCTGATGGAGATAAGGAAGCCTGTCTTCCTTCTAGTGACTGTGTAAAGGGCCACACAAGTGTAGCAGCACAGCAGTGTCATAATTATGTCATTCTCTTCTTTCATCTCCCTGCATTCACAGTTATTTATGACTTCTGAGTTTATCTGCAGCAAAGAGCCTTTGGGTGAAAGCCTGCAGGGCTTTGAAGTCCTGGCCTGGAGTGAGCAAAGTAAAGAGATGAGCTGCTCTGTCTCTGGCCTGTTTGTGTAGATAGAGGATTGCTGGAGAGCTTGGGGAGAGACTTATGGGGGGTAGGAGGAAAAGGAAAGGCCAGGGATTGTGGGGGTGGTTGGTGAGAGAGAATCTGCATTTTGATTCCACCCCATTAAGCTGTTTCTTCCATATTACAAGTGATGAGTTTCACAGACTTTTCCCAGTCTGGGTGCTCAGTGCTGTACTGAAGTGGCAAACCCTTGTGTGGAAATCTACGGTGGAATTTGCTGCTGCAGCCTTCACGTTCAGGATGCAGCATCCTTTTCTGGATGCAGTGAGCTGTCAGTGTAACTGAGCTGTCAGGGTGTTCCTAAAGCTTGTTTCTGGAGGCACTGGAGGATTTAGAGCAGCGATGAAAGTGCCGTATGTCTGAGTGATGGCACTGCCTGACAGGTGCTCCTTACTTTGTGGGGATCTCCTCTACAAAATACCCTGCAGCAGCCGTGTTGTGGTGCAGCACCTGGAGGTGCTGTTAGATGTCTTAGCTCTAACAGCAAAGCACAAGGAGCTGGAGAGGGGTAAGGGCCATGTGAAGTGCAGGCTGCCAGTTCCTTGTTTTACTAGAGCTACTAATCAAGTATTTCCAGTCTGTTTCTGTTAATTGTGCCAAGGAGTGCTCTGTGCCCTTCCCAACACACGGGATTTGCTCTCTGTTGAAGGGATGTGGCTGAGCTGTACGTTGAACGTGTCCTCAATGTGTTACACAGCAGGTGTCCTCTTCTGCTGTTGGATCTGAACTTCTTCTTTCAGGCACTTCTGCTTCTGGCTTTGCTTTGAACCTTAAGCCATTAACTACAACCGGTACAATGGGAGCTGTGACTTCTACAGCTGCTATAACCACAGCAGCAACCAGGCGAGTGTCTGTTACAGCTGTCTGGGGCAGGAGGCAGCGTTACTGCTGCTAACTGGGGGGGGAAGGGGACGCAGGGTTGTGAGGGTTGTGCTTGGGTTGGTGACTGTGTCCTGTGCTGTCCCACGTTTCCTCTCAGTGCACCTCCTGTGATGACGTACGCCCAGCTGGAGAGTCTGATAAACAAGTGGAGCCTGGAGCTGGAGGATCAGGAGAAGCATTTCCTCCATCAGGCTACACAAGTGAATGCCTGGGATCGGACACTGATAGAGAATGGAGAGAAGGTCGGGTGGCAGGCAGCCTGGTTCTGCTTGCTAAGTTTGTTAGAGATTTGGAGAGCAGATAGAATCCAGATATAGCTCATTTCTTTTGAATTTTCCTGGTAAAATTGTCTTCTATTTCCAGATTACTTCACTGCACAGAGAAGTAGAGAAAGTGAAGCTTGATCAGAAGAGGTGAGAAACTGTGAACACTTGAGATGACATTTCTTATCGTTTGTTCTTATTCTCCATCGTCTTGCATGGAAATTCTTGGACATCAGCCTGATCTAAATGGTGTCGAGTCGTTCACGGTGTCCTTTTCAGACTGGATCAGGAGCTGGACTTCATTTTGTCCCAGCAAAAGGAGCTTGAAGACTTGCTGACCCCTCTGGAGGAATCAGTGAAGGAGCAGAGTGGGACCATTTACTTGCAGCACGCGGATGAAGAACGGGAGAGGACGTAAGAGATCAGTTTTGAACGTGTGATAGGCAGGGCAGTGTGGTGATGATCAGTCAGAAGTGGGGATACAGGATAATAGTTAGCTGTCAGAGACTTTCCACTAATATGTCATCCTGTCTTATGTCATATTTTGTGTGCTAGAAATAAGGGAATTGCAATTGGAAGCTCTTAAATCAGGGTGTTTGGGTGGCATTGGTCTCACCAGCTGTCTAGGAAGGTGTTGTTATTTAGGCATCATCCCTCAAAAAATGTAATTAGTGGTAGAAGTGATGGGAGCAGAATGCATCACGTGCAGCTCGAGCATCCTTGCAAGTGCTGAATTTTAGTGGGGGTAATGAAAGAATTCTCTGGTTCAAGAGGTGCAAATGGTACAGAATCTGGACCAGCTGCTGGTAAAACCTTCCAGAAGAAACTTGAGCAGTGTTATTTATCTGTCTCCAAGTGTCCGACAGAGTGGAAGGCTGAGGAGCTGCCTCCTCTGTGCCCTGGTTGGAAGGCACGGATGCTAATTCTGATTGCAGCCCTGTGCTTGGGAGCAGGCTGTGTGCAGCTGGCTCTGAACGCTGGCTCACATCCTCCTCCCTTGCACCTCGCAGCTACAAGTTGGCTGAGAACATCGACGCTCAGCTGAAGCGAATGGCACAAGATCTCAAGGACATCATTGAGCACCTGAACACCTCGGGACGCCCCGCGGACACCAGCGACCCGGTAAATGCAAACTGCTTCTGTGCTTTGGCATAGAGACCCAGGCTGTAAAACAGTGCTGACGCTTCATCTGTCTGCTGGTGGGTGCTCTGCTTTTAGCCTCCACCCAGGAAAAGCGTTCTGTTTTATCGTTCGTTGATTCTCTGGTAATGCAATGCAAGCCAACCCGGCCGTGTGGTTACTGTGAGATGAGCCTCTTTGCTTCTGGTGCAATTCTTGAACAGCTGACTCGATTCAGAGCTGTTTCTGAACTTTGATCCTGCATTCTGTTGGAGCATGTTGTGCAAAAAGCACAGCTGTCGATACTTCTTCTATACTACCTTTGTATCCTTGTGAAAACAAGATCAAAATTAGGAGCTTTTTGATCCGTATTACTGATCTCAGTAATTGATCTCAGTGCTCCTTGTAGCTCCTCACTCTTTACTGAGAGGCTTTTTTCAGTGAAAATGGCACCTTGGTGTTCCAGACTGAGGGTTTTACTTTGTTGCTTTTTGCTTTTCTCACCTCGAGGCTCAGATCCACATTGTGGTGCATCTGAGGTCTGAGTCTGACTAAAACTGAGCTGCAGGCACACTCTGAATCGATCTGTTTCCTTGATGGCAAAGAGAAGCAAAGCAACGCAGCTGCTGCAAAGCAGAAATGCCGTGCTGGTAGAGCTGTGCGTGTGAGGAGTCTGCTTGCTTTGCATCCCAAAGGCAGAGTCCAGCACTGTGCCATGCTGCTTGTAGTTCTCATGTGCTCTAACAGTAACTCACACCCTCTCCTTCTGTTCAGCTTCAGCAGATCTGTAAGATTTTGAATGCACACATGGACTCATTGCAATGGATTGACCAGAACTCAGGTGAGAGTCATCTTGCAGCTCTTAAGGAACATAAACATAAGGCATGTAGCTGGTTAGAATTGAGCTCCTGAAGGTCGCTGAGGAATCTTCTCTTCTGGATTTTCCTGATGTGCACTGAAAGCCTCTGCTAAAGTGCCACAATGCGTGGAAACGTGGCATAACAGTCACTTGTAGTAATGCAGAGCAGAAGATTTAATGGCTGGTGAACATTTGGTACTGTAGTTACTGTTAATTAGTTTGGATTCGTTCAGCCAATTCACCATCTTGCACCTGGGGCTCAACACTGAGGACAGAAAGAAAGGAACTTTCCTGCTGGGGATTATTGTGCTCACGAGAGGGGTTGAGGAGTTGTGTGTGGTTTTGGTACTGACAGATGTTAGCAGCTGCAGGGGGCACTGCAGGATGAGGAGCACAGCTCTCACAGCACCAGGTGGCCTCACTGCAGCACTGTGCTGCTGCTCTCACCAGGCACTTCTGGGCTGGATGCAGCCACGCTGCTTCTGACTGAGACATAAAATAAGCAGTGTTGTTGGCTTGCTTAGGTCAGAACTAGATTAGCCTTCCTGCTAGAAGATCAATGCAAATGCTTGCATTCCAGGCGTGCCTTCCTTGTGAAGCCTGGTGTAGCTCCTAGAATGCTGACCCTACAGAACGTTAGAGGATATCAGACGGTTTCTTGATCAGCTTCATTTCCCATAAAGCGCCCTCAGGGGTGTCCTGCAGCAGCAGGGATAAGGATCTGTTCTAGGAATAGGTGTGCAAAGTGGTGCTTAACTGGTCTGACCTGTTTAAGCATTACGTGGAACTGGGGAACTTCAGATTAATGGTGCTTGCTCAGCTTTGCTTACGCTGACACGAACGGGCTTGCAGAACACACACGGATGTTTCATCCCTACGGTGGCCCCCCTGGCAGGAGAGCTGGGATAACGCCTTGCTCTGAGCTGCTTTCTCCTCTGAGAGAAGCAGGATTGGCTTTCTTTGTTACAGCGGAGTTCTGAGTGGAGCTGTAGGAGGCAGAGAAAGCAGACTGTCATTTGATGCCACTTTTGCACGGTGGGTTTTTGCAGAGTGACAAACTGAAATGTGTTGCTTAATATGTTACTGGAAGGTTCTGGGTTTGGCACGCTGCAAAATTAAAACTTCAACTGGAATATCTCCAAACCACAGAGTGACAGAATGCTGTAGCCCCGTTGAGTTACTTCTGATAAGCTTTCATGAAATTAAATTAAACACTGCTCTGCTTGGTGCCAAGAGTACATTGCTGTGCCTCCTGCATTTGGAGCTGAGAGTCAATCCGTGGCTTATTTGCAGATCACTGATTGGGAAATGTGTAACAAGTTATCTGTAATGTGACTGAAAGCGATCTGCGTCTCCTCATTGCACTTTTTACTACGCTTGCAGTTAGAAGCTTGTTGTTTGTGGCCGTTATCCTACAGGAAAATGCTTCCAACAGCTGGGCTCACCTGTGTGCTGCCTCGTTCCCAACTGCTGGAGTGGGAGGTGGGCAGGGAAACGCCTCCAGAAGTCAGGCTGCAGGGGCAGTGCAGGGAGGCTTCGCTCTGCTCTCTGCTGCCGTGCCCAGGAACTGCACTGAGTGCCTGCAGAGCTCTGCTGGGCTGCTGCCCGTCCCTGGGATGCACAGTGCCCCTGGGAGGCCACGGAGAGCCGGCAGCGCTCTGCCTTGAGGCTCCCTGTCTGTCTGAATGGCAGAATAGGGGAGGTGTTGGGTCGCAGGGCTGCGTTAGGGTGGCTGTGAGAGTGAGCGCTGTTCTCCATCCCACAGCCTTGCTGCAGAGGAAGGTGGAGGAGGTGACGAAGGTTTGTGAGAGCCGCCGCAAGGAGCAGGAGCGCAGCTTCCGCATCACCTTCGATTGAAGGACTCCAAGTTCAGAATGTCAGTTCCCCGTAGAGGGGAGGATGGTGGGGACCTGCGTGACATCTGCTTTTTCATTTTTCTTTCTTTAATTGCAATAAATTTCTTCTGTTTTAAATTCTGAAGTTACTCTTTGCCGTGTCTGAGGGTTCTCCTGCTGCAGATGCACAACTGCTGCCTTCACAGCTGGGCCTCCCAGCTCAGCACTTTGCTGTAAGCTGAATACTTGCAGTCACAGCTCCATGTGCTGTTATTTGGGTCCTTACATGAATGGGTAGACGAACAGCTGTTGGGAGGAGCCTGATAGCCTCGGCTTCCCACCATTACAATGTAGACTTTAATGAGGGGTTAATTAGGTATGCCTGTGCTTCTGAAAGTGGATCTCATTTTCTTTTGGCATAAACTGCTTTTGTGTTTGTACTTTCGAGGGCTCCCAATTTGTGGATTTGTGTCTGATTAAAAACAGCAGCTGTGCAAGTGGGAAAAGGGTCCTGCTGCGATTCTGGGAGTGTTGCTGTGCAAGGGTAGAAGAAAACGTGGAGCAAGCGTGCTGCGAAGCTGTGAGACACGGCGTCGTACCGCTTCCAATAGCAACGCGCTTACAACGCCGAGCGCGGTCACCGCGGCGCTTTGTCCTCCCCTCCGCCAGGGGGCGCTCGGTCAACCCCGCCCCGCCGCCCTTCCGCAGGTGCTGCTGGGAGTTGGAGTCCCGGGCGGACGGAGGCAGCCGGCAGCGGCGCGGCCATGCGGAGGTGAGCGGGGCTCAGGGGCCGCGGGGGGGGAAGCGGCGGCTGCGCGGCCGTGTGCTGAGCGGCGTTTCGTCCGGAGCAGGGTGAGCAGCAGCGTGTGCAGCGATGAGGTGCTGCTGGAGGAGCTGGAGACCGAGGGGGAAAGGCAGCTGAAAAGCCTCCTGCAGCAGCAGCTCGACACTTCCGCCTCCATCGAGCGGTGAGTCCCGGGTGGCGCGGCCCCTTTACACGCCCCCCCCCTTTACACGGCGCCCCGCTCCCGGCGGTTGCGCTGCTCTCGGTTCCAGGTGTAAATCGAAGCGGAGGTGCTTTGCTCCGGCGGCGTTCTACAGACCCTTCGGTGAGGCGGCGGCGGGGGCACTGAGCTTATCCCAGTTCCGAGAGCTGCAGGAAAGCGACAAAGAGACCGCAGCGCTGCGGGAGTTGGGGCTATCGGAGCCCGAGATCGCGCTATGGAAGAACCGCGCTGCGGAGAAGGTTTGTGAGCAGCGCGTTTGTAACGGCCTCGTAAGCAGCGGCAGGCCGCAGAGCCGCCTCCTCTCCGGGCTGAACACCTCCAGCTCCGGCCGCCCCGTGCAGCGTTGCTCCGGCTCCCCGCAGGAGGCAGCTGGCGGTGCTGATTTTATTACCGGTTCCTTTCTTGCAGCGCTCCGGGCTGGGAGCGGCCCCCGAAGCCATGCAGGAGCGCCTCAACGCCATCCAGGAGAAGATGGACGAGAGGCAGCGCATCCTGGAGCTGCCCCAGAGATTTGCTGGCAGCAAGCAGCTGAGCCGGAGGGAGATGGAGATCGAGAACGCTCTCTTCCAGGGAACGGACCGGCACTCCTTCCTGCGGGCGCTGTACCACCAAGGTGTGCCCCCATCCCTTCTGTTCTTGTGGCTGTTTAGTGGGCAGAGATGGTATCACTGGGAATTCCATGGGATGGAGGTGAGCCGCGAGGTGCAGAGCGCTCCTTCTGCTCCCTTGTGCAGAGGTAGGGAGCTCAGGTGAGGCTGGATGTGCTCCTGGCCCTAGGCTCGTTCAGTGGTTTATAGCCAGGAGGACGTTAAGGGATGAAGTGCTGGTGGGGGAGAAGCGCACCATCACACCGTGCTTCTCTGTTGTGGATTAGATGACACTCAAAGGATAACGGATGAGAAGGACCCCATGGTTCACCTGGAGAGCGTTTACCAAGAGGTGCTGGGCAAGCAGCCGCCTGGACAGGACCAACCATCCACAAGTGCTGCGTGCTCGCTGCCTGCCCCCGCCCCGCAGGGCTCTGGCACTGAGGAGTCACCACCTCCTGAGCAGGAAGAGCAGCCACGCCAGGAAGAAAGCCCCAGCCCTCCTCCAGCAAAGCCCCACCAGTGCCCTCCAGGACCTGTGACTATAAAGGAGCCTGTAGAGTTCATCCCGGAGGAGGAGATCTGCAAGAACCGGCTCTCTGAGGAAGAACTCCGCAATATACCTCGGTTTGCTTCCTACCATCCTGGGGAGCCCAATAAGGTACGTGGAGATGAACCACGCTTCATCCAGCTTCCTAACCAGGAGTGCAAGCAAAGGCTCTTTGCTCCTGCCTGGCTGCTGCTTGGAGGTGCTCTTTCCTGTACAATTGGTGACTCTGCTGGCAGCTGGGCTGAACTGGCTCCTACATTTGAGGTGTACAGGCTGGGAGTGGGTTAAGCACACCTGTTAGCACAGCGCAGGGCAGCTGACCCTAACGCCTCCACAACAGGTGCTGTATGTGAAGAACTTGGGCCCTCGTGTGACAATGAAGGACCTGGTGTCACTGTTTGCTCGGTTCCAGCAGGAGGACAGCAGGCCCATCCAGTTCCGCCTGCTGAGCGGCCGCATGCGGGGTCAGGCCTTCATCACCTTCCCCGGTGAGCTCTGCCTCCTGCCTGTCCCTTCCTGCCTGCCTCCCCCAGGGCAGCAGAGCCCCTCCATGCTGCAGGAGCAGATTTTGCTCCCTCTCCTTCACCTCGGGTCGTGTTCTTTTCTGTGGGCTGAGGGGCTGCAGCATGCTGGGTTTGTTGGGCTGGGGTCTCCAGCGCTGTGCTGGGTCGTGGTGCAGGTTGAGAACCATTCTGCTGTTTCCTTGCAGATACTCAGTCGGCCCAGGATGCGATGCTCTTGGTGAATGGGTACAGACTGCAGGGGAAGCCAATGGTGATTGAGTTTGGGAAAAGCAAGGGGCCGTCGACAGACGCTCAGGCTGCCGCTCCCTCCTCTGCTGGAGCAGAGCCCACTGCCACGTAAGGGCTGGAGGACCTTGGGGACTTGACAGGCCCTGGGACTGCCTTGCTCAGGACTGGTGGGAGCTGAAGTGCAGCTCTGTGCAGCTGCAGTGGCAGGGTGAGAGCTGAATGCAGCCTCGAGGAGGGTGGTGCTGAGGAAGCGCTGCTCTCTGCCCTGCTGGCACGTGAGGAGCTGCAGGAAGGCCGGTGCTGTTCTCGCCCTGTGCTGTTCTGTTGGGCTGCTCCACCTGCCTGCATTCTCAGCCCTTTGTGGTGAGGAAGAGGAGGGGAAGCTTCGTCTGTTTATGTTGTGTATTTCTGCAGCTTTATTTGCATGTCAGTGTGTTCCTTTGAGAGAAAAGGGAGTAGCGTGCAAGAGGGCACCATTTTTCAGACTTGACTTTCTTTTCATGTCTTTAGTTGGTGTGTAATTAACTTTCTGCCGCTCTGATATGTTTATAGGAACAGTGTAGTTTGCCTTAAGGTGGTGCTTTAGGTGCAGAAGTTGCTGGGGCTCTGATCTGTTGGAGATTTCTGCTCCAACTGGCTGAGCTGAAGCCACTGTTTGGCACAGGACTCCATGTCCAGCAAAAATTACCCAAGATTCTATCTATCTATATATTATAAGTTATTTCTTGCATATTGCATTTCCCCCCCTCCCCCATTTTGCATTTTCTCCCAGACCAACTTGCAGGAAATGAAAAACACAGCAGCCCTATGACAGTGACTTCCCTCTGCCCCAACCCACTGCAGGGATGCAGGTAAAGTGGGGAGGAGAAGCTGGCTGCATGGGAAAAGGAGCAGAACAAGAACCAGAGCTGAGGGAGGCATGGCTACCCTTAGCCTTCAAATAGAAAGAGCTTACAAGGTTCTGCAGGAGGGGGGAGTTAGGCTGGCAATAAGCCATGAGCCCAGTTATGCCTGACAAAGAAACAGCGCCAGCCCCTGGAGCCTTGTGCAGGACCTTTCAGCTGGACAGAAGGTGCATGGATGTGACAGAGCCCTCAGGTGACACAGGGGGGCTCAGGTTCTCCTTCCAGTCCCTCAGCCCCAGGGGTGCCAACAGCCAGCCCAGCCTGCAGTCCTGCCACCCCCATCCTGACACAGTGCTCTGTGCACATACCTGATGTCTGGACCACACCGTCAGCCACCAATTTGGTAATAAAATTTAATTGGACATACTTTCAGGACCACAGCTGGCCCAAGCTGCAGTTTACCCGCTGCTCTGTTTGGCTGCCAGTCTCTTATCTCTCTCTTCAGCAATGGTCAGGCGGATGCCCTTTCCACGGGGCAGAGAGATCCATGGCTTGTTGCCCTGAAGCGAGGAAGGAGAGACCACATCATGCTAAGGAACTCAGAGGGATATAAAGTGCTCCCTTTCAATGAGGAAAAGCAGCAAGGGCAGCCCTTGCCTGAGCAGGGCAACAAGCAGTTTGGTGTCCTTCACTCAACAGCAGGCCCTGAGGAAACTGTGGTGCCAAAGCCATCAGAACCTTTTCCAACCTGGACTTAAGGATCCAGAGATGGCAGTATTTGAGGCTCTTGGGAGAGGACGCTCCTATGGAGCAGTTGCCCCTAAACTGCTCAGCTCCACCTTGCCCAAGGAGGCTGTGGATGCCCCAGCCCTGCAGGCATTTGAGGCCAGGCTGGATGTGGCTCTGGGCAGCCTGGTCTGCTGGTTGGTGACCTGCACACAGCAGGGGGTTGGAATTAGATAAGCACTGTGGTCCTTTTCAACCCAGGCCATTTGATGATTTCTATGATTTGAGAAGAAAACATTACAGGGTTTCCTCTTCCAAACATCCCCAAACCTTCTAGGAAGGCGGCTATGAATTCAGAGCAGTCAGCTCTGTAGGCTTACAAGCGATCAGAAGCTGCCCCCAGAAGACACCCATAACTCCTGGCTTCAAGAGGAGGGGAGGACACACTCTCCTTCAGCCCATGCAGGCTTACCTTGCCAATAACAAAGATGTTGGAGAGCCTGGTGGCAAAGCTGTTGCCATTGGCATCCTTCACATGAACCACATCAAAGGAGCCAGGGTGTCTCTCCCTGTTGGTGATCACCCCAATCCGGCCCAAGTTGGCGCCGCCAGTCACCATGCACAGGTTTCCTAGGATGAAGGAGAGAGGGCTGTGACAAGAGCTTGTGGTGCTCCTCAAGAGCCTGGGGAGAGGCAGAACCGTGGAGCATTTGGACAGGAACCACCCAACGCAGCTCTCTGGTCCCAACATCCATACAACGCATTCCTTATCACCTTCTTGCTATGCTGCTCAGTGGCAGCTGAAAGCTTCTCCCACAGCCTGCTCCTAAAGCAGAGAGCAAGGAATCTTCCTCTCGCTGCCCAGGGCTTTTCTCTCACAGCCCCATCTGGCCTCAAGCAACCTTTCCAGCAGCTTTTGCCCAGTGCCTGCTTGCTCTGGGAGCTGTTCAGAGTCCCCACACCTAAACGCCTCCCACTGCCCACACACAGAAGAAACCGCTGCTCCAGATGCACAGGGAAACATCGCTTCCTGCACGAGGATGCTGCTTCTTTATTCACATCACAGGTGCCTGGCAGTTGTCCTCAGCTTCTGCACTGCTCACCAGTCTCCCAAGAAAGCAGCATCTTGCAGGAAATGCTCAACCCACCTGTGTCAAACTTGATGAAGTCTGTGATCTTGCCGGTCTCCAGGTCAATCTGGATCGTATCGTTCACCTTGATGAGGGGATCCGGATAGCGGATGGTGCGGGCGTCATGGGTGACCAGGTGAGGGATTCCTTTGGTGCCCACAAAGATCTTCCTCACCTTGCACAGCTTGTACTGCAAGCAAAGCACGGCCCTGCTCAGACACAGCTCCCCAGCCTCTGCACAAACACCACCTTCATTTTCCTACTGAAGTACCCACGCTGCAGTGTTTTTCTCACTCTGCCCTGAAGCCCATGGCCATGCAGCAGAGGCTTCCATCCCCCAGGCCCACCAGAGCCCTGCAGCCCTCCTCAGCACCCTCCAACTTCCAGCCAGCTTGGGACTCACAGCTTAACACAAAGCAGCAGCCAGAAGCGAGCGCACTGCTGGGGATGGAAGGGCCCTGAACGCACAGCCAGCAAGCAGCTCTCCCCTCAGCATCACCACACAGCAGAGGTGCCTGGGTTAAGGCAGGGTGCACAGGAGTCCCTCCTTGACACTCCATTTTAAGAGCAACTCTCTTCTGGGAAGGGCCTAAAAGTGCTGCCCACAGCTTCTTACTGCTGCACAATGCACCTCTGGCTGGGCACGACTGGGGTCTGAGCAGCAGCCCTGCTTGTGGCGGCCCTGAGTCTGCAATTTTCTGCCCATTCAACCACAACAAGCAAAGCTCTCTGTAAAAGTGACCCAACCACACCAAGAGCGAGAGCAGCCAGCAGCTGACCACGCACCTGCAGGTACATCTGGGCACCACCCTCACATCACCAACACGTTTTCCCCCCACAAAGGCTCCACGCCCCAACCCAGAAGGCCCCAGCTGATCCTCTCGAGGGTGGCACGGATTCTGCATTCAAAACCACCAGCTCAGGACACGCCAAGGAACAAACACTGCTCTGAGAACACCCGGCCAGGCCCACACGGCACCAAGCTGCAGCTCCTCACCTTGGCCTCTTCAGCTGTGATGCGGTGAACAGCAAAGCGGCCCTTGGTGTCGTACACCAAACGGAAGTGTTCGCCTGTCTTCTCGATGCTGATGACATCTGATTTCACAGAGAGAAATAAAACAGCAGCAGTTAACAACTACGCTATCCAACGCTAACTCAGCACAGAGCTCATCTTTAAATGGGACATAAAGGCTGCTGAACCACGCTCTCTCCCTCGTTGTCACCAGGGCATCTTCCCTCCCCACACAGCCTCACAACGCTGCCCCCCCCCACCAGCACGACATACCCGTCCTCACTCCCCCCAGACCTCACCCATGAAGCCCGCAGGGTAGGTGATGTCGGTGCGAACTTTGCCGTCGATCTTGATGAACCTCTGCATACAAATCTTCTTCACCTCATCTCCGGTCAGGGCGTACTTCAGCCTGTTCCGCAGGAAGATGATCAGCGGGAGGCATTCCCTCAGCTTGTGAGGGCCCGTGGAGGGACGGGGCGCCTGGAGGAGGAGAGGAGCCTCGGGATGGGCACACAAAGCAACGCGGGGCCCGCAGCAGCACCTGGGGATGGCCGCGTGGTGCCCAAACCCTCAGCTGGCACTTACGAGCAGCGGAAGGCGCCGCCCCGCCCGCAGGACGGCAGATCCGCCTGAAGAAACGCTGAGGGTTCACAAACCATCCCCGAGGAGCGCAGCCGAGCTCCCAGCCCCGCGCAGCCCCGACCGCCCCCGGCCCGCACTCACGAAGACGCCCGTCAGCTTGTCCAGCATCCAGTGCTTCGGCGCCGCCACGCGCTTCAGGTGCTTCTTCGGGCCGCGGGCCTGCGGGACGGGACGTGTTAGGGTGCGGGGCCGCCGCTAGGCCCGCCGCCCCCATCGCCGGCTCCCCGGCCACCCCCGGCTTCCCGTCCCTCCCACAGCCCTTCGGTGGGTTCCCTCGTGCCCTGGGCCGCGGCGGGGGCGGCGTCGGCCCACAGGAGGCGGCGGATGGCGGTGGATGACGGAGGAGAGCGGCGGCGCCGCGCACTCACCATGGCTGCGCTCCTGCGGGAAAGGGAGGCCGCTTCCGGTGCGAGGCTGATATGGGCGGGACGGGCTGCGGCGGCACCACCTCCCCTTAGTGCGCCCCCTGGCGGCGCGGAGGTCCTGAGGGCGCTGTGAGCGACACCACCTCCCACCTCCCGCGACGGGCCGCGCGCAGTGTTGTCCTCCATGTGTTCCCCTTCCAGGCTAGAACCATCCCAAGTCACCCCCTAACCAGGCTGGGACCCCCCATAACCCATCCATCCAGACTGGGATCCTTTCACGGTTTCCTTCCCCACCTCCAATGGTTCCTCATCCAGGCTGGTTTCCCTTCATTAAAGCTGGGATGTCCCCATCTCCTCCTTGTGCCCCAAGTCGGGATCTCTGCACATGCACCCTATCCAAAATGGGGCCAGCCCACGTTCCCCCCACTAACCACACTCGGTACACCTCCCATCTCCTCCCTGCATAGGGTAGGGGGCAAGAAGGGGTCAGTTGGTGCCAGTGCTGCAGTGGGGGATGTTGGTAAGGCGGCTGGAGGGGGAGCCCACGTATGGGGACACCCAGGGAGGGACAACCCAGCTGGCTGGCAACCACACTCCTGCTCCTTACCTAAACCCCACTGAGCCCCACAATTTGGCACTGGGGGTTCTTCCCCTGAAGGGATGGTTACCAACGCTGAGTGCAGGCAAGGCAGGGCAGATACAGGGCGAAAGGAAAAGGGCTGGAGTATTTCAAATATTTTATGTGGGAAAAAAAAATGCCCATCAGTTTAAAACACAGCTTGCAGTGGCCTGTCTCTTAAAAAACATTTAAAACCAGTTGTGAGAATAATCTTTAACCATGTTAAAAAAGGGAAGAGAGATGAGCAAGAGAGGCTCTGCTGGCCTGGGAAACCTGTGGCTGGAGGGCACGCTCTCCCACCCATGGAGATCCATGGCACACAGCAGGCTTTGCTTTTTTAAAGAGAAATGGATTCACCAACGAACCAACAGTAACCTCTTCATATTCCTCCTGCAGCCACAAATGTCATCAGCTGCTCTGGAAACATCTCTCCAACAGAGCAATGCTGTTACAGGAACCTGAGCCTTCCCTTCTCCACTAAACCACGTGCTTCAGATTGCCTGCAATAGAAGAGGAAAAAGGGTTGAGCCCAACCTCAGCCTGATGGCATGGCCCAGCCTGGGACATCCCAGAGCACTCAGAGCAGTTTAACAGATCCCTCCTCTGCCCAGCTAGAGGAAAGGCAACAGCACAACAGCACCTTTTGCTAACAGAGACCACAGCTCTGAACTAAATGTGCTCCTGAGAATCCCAAGAGAAGTGGGAGATGTACTGAGAGCAAACAAAGAAATGGGGTTCATCTTTCCAGCTAGCAAGGAAGATTGCAGTGAGCCAGAAGTCCTCCCTAAAAGGCCAAAATAAAGCAGGAGTGCCAGCTTTACCTGACTGCTCACCTTTGATCAAGTTAAGAATTTCTTGAACTCTCTGTGGCTCGTTGCGGTCCGGCCTGCAGCTGGGTGTGATCTCCAGCACGTAGTCAGGACCATACTCTGTGAAGAACTGCACGAACAGGAGAGGAGTAAGCAGCCAAACCAGGCTCCCGAGACTCTACAATCCCTCTGTTGTCCCATCCAGCATCCCCAGCAAGACGGAGCATGGCCATACACAAGCACCATATGCTCCATCTGACCCAGATTTTCACATGTTCCTTCTCCCTGGCACATCTCAAGGAGCTCTCTGAGCAAGCAGGTGACTCCACCTCCTCATCCTCTGTAATTATCTGAGGCTGCAGCTTATTGGTTTCTTAGAACCTTTCAAAAAAGACGCAGACAGCTTCACTTTTTGGGAACAAGCAGCCACTGTGCTGTCAGGGAAGCGCATTATTGTTATAGGAGAGACTGTCAACAAACAGCACCGAGCTGAGTGTGCCTCGTGGATGAGGTGGGATGACTCTGCTCTTGCATAAGGAGAAGGGATTAGGGAAGACTTTACCTCATGATCAGGGATCTCAGAGGACAGAGATCTGCCAAGGATGACCCCAGTCAAGTACGTCCAGCAGCGGGCTGTGTTGGCAAGGTTGTAGCCTCCTGTCTCCAGCAAGAATCGTTGTTTTGGAAGGGAAAGATTGGGGAAAAGGGAAGAGAGAGATTTTACTGGAGGGAACAAGCTGCAGAAGCTCCTCCAGACACCTCTGTAGACCCAGAATTGCCAACAAGGACAGGTTTTCATCAGTAATAGGGATAGCAGTGCAAGGGCGGCAGGAGAGACAAGGAGTTGCTGCTTTTTAATGCCAGCCTTGGTTCCATAAAGCAAAATACACAGGCCCAGCCATTTGTTAGTGAGCAGTCATGTTTGAGAGGTACTCATCAGCTTCAGATATGTCAGCTGGCCACTACTTCACAAGTACAGGAGGTCTCATGGGCAGCATGGAAGTGCTCCTGTCCATCATGGCTATGCATGACCTCACAGGGGGGACCTTGGCTGAGAGAAACCCTATGACAGACTTGGAAAGTGTTTTTCTCCAGTAGACTAAAATAACGAGGAAAAAAACGCTTGGAAAAGAGGGAGATCACACATCCCACTGTTCACTTTGCCTTGTTTTTTGCCAAGTGCCAGCTCCTCCCCCCAGATTTCCACTCCGAATGCCTCTCTGAGCCGTGGTGGTGGGACACTCCTTTGGCATTTTCACCTCATTTTTATGAGGCCAAATTTTGGGGGCTCTTCTTCCCTTTCCCAGCCTACCCACAGACACGGCCTCTGTTCCGACCCACACGAGCCCACTCACAGTCAGATGTCTGAGGCAGGATTGCAACGCAGCCTGGCATCTGCTGGTACCACGTATTTAATGCCTGAGGCCACCCAGTTGTTGAGGCCAAAGACTTGCTCTCCTGGAGGACCAAGCAGCTTCCTTGCCACCATCAAAACGTGCACACACTCACCTCCTCCCAGGATGAGAGTTGCCAGCTGCCACTGCAGGACGTACTTCAGGCACTTGCCCACTCCCTCAGGTGTCATGTTGAAGGAGCACATGGGGTCTCCAGCAATGGTGTCAGCCCCCAGTTGTAGCACCACTGCCTCAGGGCTGAAGGCAGCATACACCTCCTTCAGCACGCTGCAGAGAGAAGCAGAGGGTTACCACAAGCTTAGCTCAGTGGGAGCATCAAACTACATGTGTACACGGGCTGCCCTGAGCAGGAGGGCTGGAAGCCAGGCCTGGGGGCATTCCTTCCCTGTGACAGAGCAGAACAAGGTCTGTTCCTGCTGCTTCTCACAAGCACAGGACAGGAGGAACAGAGGTGGCTCCACATTATCACTCTGCCCTCTCCCATCCCCCTGGAGCAAAAACACACCTCCCCTGGCTCTGACACACTGCACACAGAGGGCAGTGTCCTTTCCATTCTTTATTACAAGTATTCTCTTGCAGAAGGCAACTGGGACTTTGCTCAAGGAGATTCTTGGCCCCAAAGAGAACGACCCCGTTCCCAGCACTGCACTCTAAAGCCCAAAACATCATGAAGAAAAATACGTTTCTTTCACAACAGTGTCTTTATTCCTCTAAAATAAGAAAGAGATGTGGTTCCTGGGATAAATGCTTCTGCCTTGGTTGAGAACCTAAGCAACTCCAATTCTTCTTTGACATGCAATTATAAACCACTGTGGTGTCAAACCAAAGAGCTTGCACTACCCAGATCTCACCCCAGGACCTTCATCAGCCCCTTGCCCCGTGCCAAGAGGGATTAAAAACAAGTAAAATCCATGTAGTTTCTAACACTCCATCCAAATAAATCGTATCAGAGCAAGAGGGCTTACGTCTCACAGATCTGGTAATATTTCTCATCCTGGATGCCATCCTGGATAGGCACATTCACACTGTAATAGCGACCTTTCCCCAGGCCAACATCTGTCACATCTCCTGTGCCTGGAAAATGGAAACAGGCAGCGGTTAAAGAAGAGGAAAAGAGGCTCAGCACTGAGAGAAACGTGTGGCACGTCTCAAGCAAGAGCAGAGTGCCAGTGCCTGCTAAGTCTATGCAGGCACACGGGCCCACTTCACACTGCCACTGGAAGGTTTTGATGGACCTGGTTCTGGCCCTCTGCCCCATCTTGTGATTAAGCTTCCAAGGGCAGCCAGCAGTGCCTCTGCCAAGAGGCTGCAAGGAGAAAGGAGGAGATAAATCAGATAAACACTTTCCCCCTTTTTCTTTCTACCGGGTCAAAAAAGAGGGAACATTTAGGCAGCAAGGCACCTCTGCTGATGAGGGTGAGATGTGCCTGTGCTGTGACCTCACTGCTGCTGCGTGAGCCAAATTAGCACCAACCTTGCAAGTTCAACTTGCCTGGGAAAAATCCTGGCGAAAACTTGTGCAGGGAAACAGTCATGACCTTCGAGGTGAAGCTAAAGGCATCTTCAACACCTGTCAGAAGATGGAGAAGTAAAAAGCTTCCATGCACCACTCTTGTAAATGACAGAAATCTAACAAGATGTAAATACTGTGAGCAGAGCAGGAATGCAATGAATGAAACAGAAAAACACAAGTGGCTCACTGAAGCCATCCTCCACCAATGGAGATCCAAATTCAGGGGCAGCAGTGGTCACAACTGAAATGAATCTGACAGGTCTCATGCTGGTCAGAACCGAGGGGGACCCAACACCTCGAGTCAGTGCTCGTCTGCAAGGCTGGGGAGGGAGCTGAGCACAGATGCTCTGCCTGGAGCTTGGCCTTGATTAGAATCAGAGCTACTGGGCTCTCCTGCTTTTCTCAGTGCTGCTGCAATTCCACGTGGCTCTTCTTTTTCCTCAAAGATGTATTAAAATAGCAAGGGTGGGAAGGGAAAAAAGAAGTAACGGGGAACTTAACAGAAACCAAATGTAGGGGGGAAACGGAGCGAAATGCAACACACCATAAATTAGGAGAACAGAAACGTGAAGTGGTGATGAAATGATGTCCCTGAAGCAAGGAGCCTCCCAGCAAGGCCCTCTCTGCTCTCAGTTTCATAGCATCCTGCCTTCTTTTAAAAGCAACGCTTGTTAGTGACTGCTTCCCCTTTGCAACGGTGACACTGAAGAATTAAATGCTGTCCCTGAGGATGGGGACATGGGCCTGGGGAAGCTCTCAGAATGTATCATCATTCTTAGAATGGGCTGGGTTGAAAAGGACCTCAAAGATCATCCAGTTCCAACCCCCTGCTGTGTGCAGGTCGCCAGCCACCAGACCAGGCTGCCCAAAGCCACATCCAGCCTGGCCTTGAATGCCTGCAGGGATGGGGCATCCACAGCCTCCTTGGGCAACCTGTTCCAGTGTTCTCACCAGAGAGGTAACTGCAGCAGGAACAGCACTGAGTTGCTTTAGGTATGAGAGTGCTGCCCAGAACCTCATGAGAGGGCAGAGTAACACCCACAAAGCAGGGCATGGGCAGAACTGGACTGAGGGAATTTGCACTGAAAAAGGGCAAAGCCACTGCTGCTGCACCACGTGAAGCCTTACTCAAGTCTATGCAGCTTGCAGGCTGTGCCAGGCCTTACCATCCCCGTGATGCAAATCCAAATCGATGTAAAGGATGCGGTCAAATTTCTGGCGCAGCCGCAGGATGCCCAGGACAGCATCGTTCAGGTAACAAAAGCCAGAAGCTTCATCTCTGTGAGAAAAACAGCCACGAGATTAAATGGCACCAGTGCAATTCCTGCCCTTCTCAGCTTTGCCACCTGCACTTGCAAGCCTTCATCTCGCAGGGGTGGAGAAGAGGAAGAGACGGGTCAGGAGCAGCCCAGCTCACCAAGAACACAACTGCTCGCTTCTCCACCCTGGGTTTGCCAGCAGCAGCCCCAGCTGAGGCGAGGCAGGAGCTCTGCCCATCTCAGGGCTGCACACATAAGGTATGTGCATGGAAACAGCTGCCCTTTATGCACAGCACAGGAAGCTTCCTATTGTTGGCACCAAAGGAACGATTCTTTTTGAGTTAGGGTCAGAGATGTGACTTAAGCAAAATTCTGGGGAGCCTCTTGTCTCCCACAGCTGCTGGTGTGGTGGTTTGGAAGATGGTGGACACAATTAATTAAACATACACATCTGTGGGGAACAGGGAAGCCAGGGGAATTATTTTAGTGCTCCATAATCACAGAATCCTAGAATGGCCTGGGTTGAAAAAGGACCACAGTGCTCATCCAGTTCCAACCCCCTGCTGTGTGCAGGGCTGTCAACCAGCAGCCCAGGCTGCCCAGAGCCACATCCAGCCTGGCCTGGAATGCCTGCAGGGAATAATCACAAGATTCAGGCTGATACTTCCTCTCCTGACAGTGGCTGGTGATTGACACCACGTCTCAGAGCACAAACAAAATCAGAGGTCAGCCTTGCACGACTTCACTCTTCTTACCAACAAACCAAGAAAGCCACGCACAACAATTTAGGCAATGTTTTGCCAGACTCATCTGGGTTTGAAAGGACACCAATTCTTTGCCATTCTCTATGGACCACAATGAACTTTGCAAAATCGATTCTCACTTGAGCCCCAGGGACAAGCACCTGCCTCAGGAAGCAGGGCTCACCCCAGAGCCACACTGCAGCAGCTGCCCTACGCCCCGTGTCCTTCCCTCCCCCATCTCACACCACACTGCTGGATCTCCTCCCCCAGAGGAAAGCTGGGTCAGACAGCAGGTGAGAAAACACAAGGGAAGAGATTGTTTCCTTACTTCTTTGCGTGATGCCACCCTCCAGGCCAGTTAATTGCTACCTTGCACTTGCCATCCAGCAGGCACTGGGCTGCAGTGATGGTGGCTCCCCCCACGGCTGCTGCGTAGTCAAAGATCCCTTCAGTAGCCGGACAGTCGTAACCTGTGGGTGACAGCCAGCATCACGCATTGCTGATGGGAAAAGCACACTTGGGGCTACTGCTCCTTAAGCACAGCTCTGGCTTTTCATTCTCTGCACACCGAAATTACAAACAAAGCACTGTGCAAAACCCTCGTGACAAGTCTCATATCTGGGCTTGTGTGGCAGATACAGGGAGTGGTAAATGCGAGGGTGAAAAATGAGGTTCTCTCATGTTCCGGTCATTCAGATTCACTGAAGGAGTTTTGAGCTCATTTCTGATCTCTGCCTTTCTGTTAGCTACCTTGACCCCACAGCAAGCTTGCAAAACACGCACTAATTCTCTGGTGTTCCACCAGGAAAGCCCTGATGCAGCAGCAGCAGATGCATTTTCCCACTAAAAACTGAGATATCCACAAGGAAGGCAGGCTGAGGCATCTCACAGGTCCATGGCTAGGACCTGATCTCCTCCATTTCCTACAGCAACCTCCCTAGAGCTGATCCAGCACTGTACAAGCCCAGAGCTGCTCCTCCAAGTGCACATAGAGCAGTTTCAGAGACAGAAAGGACTAGTGCATCACTCAAGCTCTTTCTAATTCAGCAGGCAAGAGCCTACTGCTCAAGATAACAGGCAAAACCATCGTGCAAATGGTGCAGGTTTGGTTCCTGGTGGCAATTTCAGGCTGTCATTCCCATGTCAGGCAGAACAACAGCATAAGGCTGACAGTACCCTCTGCTGGCAACGCAAAAAGCATCAACCTGACTGGTAACTGCTGGTTGGAGGGGTTTGGCAGCACCTCAAAGCTACATCAAGGCATCTATAGAGCCCACTAGCAAACAGCATCCTGTCAGGTTACCCTATTGCAAAAAGTTTGTGTCCTTACCCAGTCCATACTCCACAGATTCTGGGTGGTCATCATCCCCCTCCTCACTGACCTTCTGCAGGTGCTGCAGGTAAGCATCTGTGTGGAAGCTTGCCATCTCCTCCATGGAAGCCACTTTGGGCTTGATTATCCTAGCAGAGAAGAGGGAGCAGGTCAGGACACCACTGCAAAGCACAGCTTTGACCTCCTCAGATAGTTTGGCAACTGCTGCTAGAAAACAACAAAAAAATTCATCCCTGTCTCATACCCAACTGCCACTTTGAGTAGAAAGCTGGAACAGGCCTCAGAAGATTAGCACTGGCTGCTGTGCTCACTCCAACAAGGAAGTGTTACAGGTGCTGCCTGAAATTAACCTTTCACCCTCACTTCAAGGGTTTTTCTCCCTTTCCTGTTTGCTGTTCCAGTCGGATTCCTAGCAGGCACAACGCTTCTAGGACACCATTCTGCTGGAGCAGGAGCTGCGCAGTGACACCTATCTGCTCTTAACTCTGCTGTGTCTGGAGAACATCTCTGTCCTCATACTGAGAAAAAGTAGTCACAGAATCCTAAAATGGCCTGGGTTGCAAAGGAGCACAATGCTCCTCCAGTTCCAACCCCCTGCTGTGTGCAGGTCACCAACCAGCAGCCCAGGCTGCCCAGAGCCACATCCAGCCTGGCCTTGAATGCCTGCAGGGATGGGGCATCCACAGCCTCCTTGGCAACCTGTTCCAGTGCCTCAGCACCCTGTGTGAAAAACTTCCTCTTAAGTCTTTCCTGCCCCCTTCACATCCTCAATCTGAAGACCCCAAAGATGGGTTCCAACCCTTCTGCTCCAGACCTCACTCCGTCTCCTCTCCTGAGCAGTACCTACACTTCATAAGAAGGCTCCCAAGGAGCAGCGCAGCACAACAGCGCAATCTCCCTGAGTCTCAGTGCTGCCCATGAACTCGACCTGCATCAGCAGGGTTTGAAGCCGTGAGGACCTGCATGGAGGCAGCAGGAGGCAGCGTGCACGTTGTGTTAGGGCAGGAGGGTAGCTATGAAAGACCTGCAATCGTTACCACGCAGTCCACTTAACAAGGAGGCCGTCATTAGATCCTAGAGGTGCCCTACAGCCACGCAGCGAGTGAGGGCAGCAAGAGGACAGCTCAGCCATCACCAAACCTCAGCAGAGAGGAAAAGGCTCTCCTGGCAGAAAACGGAGTCACTTACATCATGTGGTCGAGCAAGGAATACGCCTCGATCAACGAGTGCACCATGCTGGCCTGGGGGGAGAAATAAAAGGAAGACGAGGATCAGCGTGAGAGCGACCGTGCAGCCCGCGGTGCCCGGAAGGAGCCCTTCACACCGCCAGGCCTCCCCTCACACAGCGGGGCCCCTCCTCACACACAGCCCCTCACGCCGCCATCCCTCAGCGGGACCCCCTCCCATCTCATCCCCTCCCCCCCCAGTCCCGCCCCCCGACGGCCCACCCCCCTGCAGCCCACCCGTTTGGGCACTTTGCACAGGGAATCGCACAGGGCCGCGTACTCCGGGCTGTACACGTAGGCCACGGGCGGCCCCGCCGCCATCAGGGCCGCCACACCGGGCCGGGCGCCCGGCCTCACCGCCGCAGGGCACGCCGGGAGCTGTAGTCCGCGCGCGGGGCGTGCTGGGAAGCGCTGCTGCCGCGCGAGGCACGCTGGGAGATATAGTCCTCCCATCGAGCCCCGCTAACATGGCGGCCCCCCGCCCTCGGCCCGCCCAATGAGGGACGCACTGCGCACACGCGTGCTGGAGACGTTTTATTGCGGGCTTCCACACAGCACGAATGAGATTTTTTTTTTTTTTTCGTTTCAAAAAATGTGACTTTTGTTAAAAAAGGCCCGAGGCCTGCAGCATTAAGGCAACACAGACCGGAGGTCAAAAAACACACGTGAAACTGCTTCCCCTACCATAAATAAAAGGGGATAAAAGGTGTGGGGATGGCACGGTGCGCTCCCCCTCAGTCCAGCAGCACTATCCCTAGCAGGGCACTAGACTAAACCCTGCACGTTTAGAGGGAAAAGCAGCACAGAACAGGTTAAAACCCTCCAATGTGGCAGGAGAACAGCTTCGGGGGTCCCTGCTGACCCCCAGCCCTAAGGTGAGCCGGAGCAGAAGGCAGGGCTGTGAGCTCAGCCCTTCCCCGACAGCTCCCAGCACGAGGCCAGGCAACCACGCCACAAACACAGCCCGAAGATCCGCGGCTGAAAGCAGTGTGCAATAATGCCTCTCGAGGAGTCCACAGCGTGGGGACAAGAGCAGGAGATCTACTGCATGGCACAGCCATCTTCGGGCAGGAGGTCGTACAGGTGCAGGGCCACTGACTTGGACAGGTAGGTCATGGTGCCGAAGCGGCCGCTCGGTGCGCTGTCGTACAGCAGGTCACAAATGCCCGTCGAGGGATCCTTCTCCAGCATATGGTCATCAGCACCCAGGGCTTTCTGGATTTTGGATGGGGAAGGAGAACAGAAGCATTAGGAAGAAGGGCTGCCGCCTGCTAGCTTGCACCCCACACTCGATGCTGCATTGTTGCTGTGCCCCACGAGGACAACAGGCAGGTCCTCAGCGTGGCTGACTGACCCCTAAGTAGTCTGGGCGCAACCTGCAGCCCCTACCTGCTCCTCATAGAAGAGGTCATTGGCTGCGTGCAGGATCTTTTCCACGGGTATGATGCCTCCCATGGTGTGCACCTCCACATCCACCAGCATGGTGAGCACCAAGATCGTCTCTACCAGCAGCTGCCGGTACTCTGGCTGGGGGACACGGTTGAGAACCGACTCCACGTGCACAGCAAACTTCATTTCCCCTGGGGTCATCTGCACAGAGGCAAGAAGAAATGCACACGGAGAGCTGTTATCATCAGGACAAATCCTGAACCAGGCTGGGCATTCACCCAGAGCGGTCTCGCACCCATCCTGCTCCCCAACTGGTAAACCTACCTCTTCGGTTGTTGAAGAGGGGAGAACAAAGCCCTCCACAGAAAGACCATGGCACTGCAGAATAAGAGGTAGAGACCACGGTTACAGCCTGGAGCAGCACTGCACCCTCATTCCCAGCTGAACGTCACTGCATGCTGCCCGCGTGCCCCAGCTCCACCTCCTGCCTCCAATCTGTCACTCCTTAAACACCAGCTTGGCATGACCCAAAGCGCTCCCACACACAGCACAAGGCTCTGCTGCCTGGTTCATTATGCTGAGCAGCGTGCAGAGCTGTGATCCCAACACCAGGTTCCTCAGAGCTCACAGCCCTGCCCAACACATAAGGCTCCTCAGCAGACCAAGCCCCTTTCTGCAAGGGTAAGGACAGGGCAAAGTAGGTGCTGCACGCCTACAAGGCAGCTCCAGCTCTTCCCCAGCTTTCCAGGGCCAGCTGAAAGCCTTGTTCATAAAGCACATACCAACACGACCTCAGGGATGAGCGTTCCCCTTAGGAAGGCAAGTGTCTGGGGACCATAGGCTCAGGTGTGGACATCCAGCTCACCTTCTGCAGGACCTTCCAGACCTTCTGATAGAAACCCAAGGGGACACGGTTCAGAGCCCCATCCAGTCGCCGTCTCCGCTTCCACTGGCCCTGCCGGCTGTCCTTACTGCCCTGGTCTTTCAGCAAGCTTGAAAAGGAGCCTTTTTCCAGCAGCTCTGATTGTCCAGTGGACTGGCCAGACATACAAGGAGAAAAGGAACTGCTGCAGGGTTAAATACTCAATGAGAGCACAGCACACTGCTGCCTGAGAGCTTGTGCCCACCCAGCCTTGTTCCTGGGGCAGAGCTGCCACCATCAGAGCTGCCACCAACAGAGCTGTCCCCAACAGAGCCCTCCCCACAGCCTGGAGGCCAGCTGGAGCACTGCTCCTTCCTGCAGCCACAAAGCAGGACAAACCCCCCACACACAGACAACAGACGCAGGTTACCAGAGAGGCCAGTAGGTCACCGTCTGCAGACTGCAAGAGAAAGGGAGAGATATAAATCAAATAGTGCCGACGCAAGGCAGCGATCATGATGAGCAGAGCAGCAGCAGCACGGACCAAGCTCAGGTCGCAGAGCAGTTATCCCAGGGGCTGTGGTTAGCTGGACATTGAGAAGAAGTTTTCAGAGGCAAAAATGCAGAAAGTCTCATGTTAGCATCAGGGGAAGGACTGCACTGGAGGAGAAGCAGGGCTTCGATTGCTCTGCTGGCATGGGCACAGATTTAGTCTCAGGAGGGCCAGCAGCAGGTGGGGGACTGTCCTTGCCATGTGTGCGGTCCCTCTGTGACACCAGGCCTCACGCTGCAGCTGCTGCATCAACCTGGTCCCCATAGGCCAGGCCCACAGCTAAACACAAGGCAAGCCCCAGAGGAGGCACTTGTCTGGTGTGAGACTGAGAGGAAGTAGCAGGGGAGTGCAGGTGAGATCAATATCACAAGTCAGCGTCCTGGTATGGCACCGCTGGGTTGTGGCAGTGGAGACACAGTGCCACCGTTCAGCATTTGCTGCCAATACAGTGGGATCTATTCGACTGTGGCAGCTATGCAGCACAGCTCCCAGCTGGTTGTAATGCCAGGGCACCCATGGTTTTGAGAAACCTTCCTCTTCCATGGCCTCAACGCAGCAGATCCCACTTAAAGGGAAGCTCCCTGAATGCCACGGGGCCACATTTAGCTTTGCTGACCTCTCCCCAGACCTGAGGCCTCCCCACTGTCCTAAACAGAGCAACCCTAAGCCTGACGAGAAGGGAAGCCAGCTCGTTGCCGCAGCAGCTCACTCAGTGGGTTCATTCAGGAAAGCTCATTAACTCATGCACGCTCAGAAGCTGCCCTGGTACGCAGCACGACAGATAAAAGCTGAGGCTGTAGGAGGACCAAGGTGGCTTCACCTTACTCCCGATCAGAGACTGCCTACGTTTATCCAGTCGCTGCAAGAGAAGAAGGTAATGAAGTTTCTGTCGCTGGACGGGGCCCACCAGGACACCATCCCCACCAGGGATGCTGCATGGTCCTCCCCCCGCCTCCCCCACCCCTGCATCTTCTCATGCACGCCTGTTCTTCCCCCCAAATTACACTGCCAGAGCAACTCCTACTCAATGGTTTACCCCCCATTCCCCCCAGGGCAGGAGTGAGCCAAAAGGGGCTTCTGGAGGCAGCTGTAAGCTATCTATAGCCCAGGAGCAAACTCTTTTCTGCTCTCCCATCAATCTTGCTTGTCCTATATTTGTTTGCCCCTACAAACCTTTGGGGAAGCAGCCTGCACTGCTTGCTCTCACCTGTTTGATCTCACTTTTCAGCTTGATGATGCCAGTACGCTCAGTCTTGGTGGCCCCAGCAGCCTCCACGTCGTAGATGTTGATAGCAGTGGTGACCAACGAGTCCACCGATCGCACTGGAGGAGAGCAGAGAGGTCTGGAGTGGGTACTGATTCTCAGGACACAGACGTCCCTCACTGCTGCACGGCACTGGTACTTATGCACAGCCTTGCTTTGTATCCCCAGCTAGCATTACAGCACAAAGCTGCTTCAACTCAGGCTGGATCATACTAAAAACTGAGCTAAGGAAAGCCCCGACAGCCAGCGGGCTCAGGCTCAACACCCAGAGATCACCCTGCTGAAGATCACAGATAACTGCAGTGCAGAAGCTGTGCTGTGACGGCAGAAGGGGGACGTTCTACACAGCAAGGGATGCCCAGCACTGGCCACGCTCTGCACCAGGACCCAGCTCTGCCCAGAAATGCTCTCAGCCCCCCCCAAGAGACTCACCACTCTTCTCCACTCCAAATTCCTTGCCGGAGAGGATGTGGTAGAGCAGGTTCTTCACATTGGACGGGCTGAGATTCATCAGGTTCTCAGTGGCTTCTCCAGCTGGAGAGAAGAGTTGGAATGTTGTTCACCTTTCACCCTCCCAGCCTGCATCCCAGTCTGTTATCAGGAGGTACCCAAGAGCAGTCCCAACCATGTACCCTGCCACTTTCATGCAGCCTCATCCTGGCATTGAGAGCTGCCCATTTTTAATGGCATTTCTCCTCCCTGACTGACAGGACCCCAAGCACCATAGCCCCCACCCCACTGACCTCACTGCACGTACCTGAGCAGTGCAGGGAGTGTGCCAGCTCTGTTGCCATCACCTGGATGATGAGCCCAATGCGGATTCGAAACATATCAGTGAAGAGTGCTGGCTGGGTGCGGATGTACATAGCCAAGTACACCATGATCTCCTGGAGAGACAGGGGCAGGTCATCCCACTGCTCCTCACCAGAGCTCATACCCACCCGTGGGGTGCCCTCTCACCTGGGTGAGGATGGACACGCTGAGGTTCTTCTCACTGGCTTCATCAATGAGGCGAACGAGCTCCTCGTAGGGGATGGGGCTGAGGAGGGAATGGTGGAGTAAGCAAGAGATAGCCCTGCATCCCTCCTGGTCCACGGAGGAGATACAGGCTGTCTAACATCCAGTCCCAGCCCGGAATGCATGGGAAGGAAGAGGTACCACACTCACGCTGAGATGGTCTTCTCACGTGGCTCTGGGGGCAGCCCCACCGTCAAGTGCTTCTGGTGAGACAAGAGGGCTGTGCAGGCCTGCAGACAGAAAGGATCACCATCAGCTCTGGC